ACTAAGTGATGTGGTCGTTAAGTGAGTTGTGCCTGATTTTACAACCTTTTTTGTTGAGGTTGTTAAGTGAATCACTGCAATCATTAAGCAAATCACACTGTCGTTAAGCGAGTGGTCATGAGTGAAGGATTACCTGTATTATACCTTTTTATTGCTTCCTTTGAAGAAAGAGATTCAGCTTCCTGATGTTACTCATCTTTGGAACTTTGGGTTTATTTGCGGCCTTAGCCTGGATTGTCAATAGAAGCATTCTTTATCTGCCCCATTAGATATGTATTGCCTGTTATATATTTATCACATTTTATGTGAATTTTGATAATTCATAACTTTGCATCAAATACTAGAGCTATGCAGTGCTTCAGATTCAATTGCATAGGGTACTTTAGAGCAATGCAGTGGTGTGAATGTAGCCACTTTATTTCCTGTGAAAAGATGCAGTTCTTTTGAAGAGTTGCAGATTAGTGTCATGCTCATGCTCATTCTGAAGTAACGTTTTGGAGTCAAATCTGAAGTGCTGCATAGCCCTACTCAATACTTCTTTAATACCTTTAAAGCATTACAGGTAGTCCTTGCTTAACAACTCCAATAACAACCAGAAAATTGGTTGTTAAGTGGGGCAGTCATTAAGCGAGTCACCATATGACCAGACCTGATTTTATGATAATGTTTATGATGGTCGTTAAGTGAATCCAGCTTCCCCAATGGATATTTTTTGCTGGAATTCACTTAATGACCATGTAATTCACTTAATGGCCACATGATTCACTTAATGACCACAGTGATTCACTTAATGATCATTGTAAAAAAGGTTGCAAATTGGTGTCATGTGATCACGGGGGGTGCAATGATTTGAGATGGTTGTAGGTGTGAGTACAGGTCGTAAAACACTTTTTTCAAGGCCGCTGTAACTTCAAACCATTGTTAAATGAAAGGTCATTAAGCGAGGAGTACCTGTATTTTTGAAGAATCTTCTGGCTGGTTTGAAGAATCTTCTGTAGGAAGATTCTGGCTGGTTTATGCTTAAAGGCACTGGTACATGTCCAGTGATCTATTTTAAGGACTATGGCATATACAGGTAGTCCTCACTTACCAACTGCAATTAGGTCTGGCAACTCTGGCAACACTAAGCAACATGGTCGTAAAGTGAAATGTCACATGACCATGCTGACTAACGTCAGTCCCTGTTGCAGTCATTAAGCAAATCACTGTGGGTCATTAAATGCAAAATCACGTGACCATAACTTGCAACTTCCTGCCAACTTCCCCATTGACTTTGCTTGTCGGAAGCCTGCTATGAAGGTTGCAAATGGTGATCACATGACTGTAGGATGCTGTGACCATCATAATTGCAAGCCGATTGCTAAGTACCTGAGTTGTGATCACATGACTATGGGGATGCTGCAACAGCCACAACTTCAAGGTTCAGTTGTAAGTCTCCTTTTTCAGTGGCGTTGAAATTTCAAAGGGTCAGTGAAGGAGCAATCGGTAAGCGAGGACTACCTGTACTGCTTACAATTGATTGACTGGAGTGTTATAAGCTCTGTAGTAACAAAGAACAAACTGTGGGACAGAAGATGCAGTGATATCTAGCATAGAAAAATTATAAATAATTTATCTCTTAATTTTTTTATCAAAAGGAGATGGAATTTGCAAGAGATTTAGAACATTATTAATGGAGGAAATGTTTCAGATTTCATAGAAACCTGTGTAGGGGCTTTTTGAGTTGCATGCCTTGGAGCTTAAAAATGT